CACCTTACCTGCCTACTGAGAAACCTGAATGAAGGTCAAGAAGCAATAGTTAGAACCAGACCTGGTACAACACACTGGTTCCAAATTGGGAAAGGAGTATGTCAAGGCTGTATATTGTCATGCTGCTTATTTAACTTCTGTACAGAGTACATCATGTGAAATGCTGGGCTGGACAAAGCACAAGCTGGAATCAAAATTGCTGGGAGAAATATGTGCAGATGACACCACCCTTATGGCAGAAAGTGAAGAAGAACTAAAGAGCCCCTTAATGAAAGTAAAAGTGAAGAGTGGAAAAGTTGACTTAAAGCTTAACATTCAGAAAACCAAGTTCATGGCATCCGGTCCCATCACTTCATGGCAAGTAGATGGGGAAACAATGAAAACAGTGACAGACTTTATTTTGGGGGCTCCAAAATCACTGCAGGTGGTGACTTCAACCATGAAATTAAGACAGTTGCTCCTTGGAAGAAAAGCTATGACCAACCTAGACAGCATATTAAAAAGCAGAGACATTATTTTACAAACAGAAGTCCGTCTGGTCAAAGCTATGGTTTTTCCAGTAGTCACGTATGGATGTGAGAGTTGGACTATAAAGAAAGCTGAGTGCTGAAGAATTGGTGCTTTTGAACTGTGGTGTTGGAAAAGACTCTTTAGAGTCCCTTGGACTGCAAGGAGATCCAGCCAGTCCATCCTAAAGGAAATCAGTCCTGAATATTCACTGGAAGGACTGATGCTGAAGCTGAAACTCCAATGCTTTGGCCACCTGATGCGAAGAACCATCTCATTGGAAAAGACCCTGATGCTGAGAAAGGTTGAAGGTGGGAGGAGAAGGGGACAACAGAGGATGAAATAGTTGGATGGCATCACTGATGTGATGGATGTGAGTTTGAGTAGGCCCCAGGAGTTAATGATGGACAGGGAAGCCTGGTATGCTGCAGTCCATGGGGTCCCAAAGAGTCGGACATGACTGAGCGACTGAATTGAACTGAAGCCTTGTTCTACCCCATTCCTCCTCTGTTTGATTGACAGGATTATATCTCCTGACTGACAGTGTATTTTGATTTCAGTGAAACATTTCACAAAGTTCATGACATTCTTGAATGTGAGGTGGGTAATCGAAAGGCTTGTAACTGAAAAGTGTTACCCATGGGTTTCTGTCTTTGGTTAGAATCATATTCTTTTTTGTCTATGTTTTTACAAAACTACACAGGAGAGATAGTTAATATGTTGGATTATTTCATGTTTACTATATATGAATGTAAAGTTCTACATTTATAATAATGATATAATGTATTAAACACCTACCTCAAACATTAGTTATACAAATACAGAATAGAGAAGGCATGATTTGAAAGCTCTTGATGAGAATTCCTGAGAAATAAACAAGTAGATTTTCTCTTGGTGTCAGTGTTAGTATTTCTTTTTTGATGAATAAGTTGGTCATGGCTTTCTAGAATCTTAAGTGTATTTATTTACTTGGAATAATTGTTTCAAGAATTTGTCCTATGAAAATATTTAAGAGGATACTAATGATTTTAAAATAAAAGATATTTTTAGCTGTTTTCTTTGGAATAGTAAATAATAAAAACATAGCAACAGAAAAATGATTAAATTGTGTTATCTACATGTCAAGAGTAAATTAATTACTATGATTCTGTGGCTGTATAGAAAACTGTTTGCAGAATGTTAAAAGTAATAGAACAGAAATTATATATCTGTTTCTATTGTAATGAAATTCTATTTACACGTTAATGAGACTTGAAAGGACTTTTAAAACTATTGAAAGCTGTTTTTTAGGGTAATGTAATAATTTATGTATGCTCAGTCACTCAGTTGTGTTTGACTCTTTGCAACCCTGTGGAGTATGTCCTCCAGGCTCCTAGGAGTCGATGGGATTTTCCAGCCAAGAATACTGGAGTGGGTTGCCATTTCCTATTACACGGAAGGTAATAATTAAATAGTGAAATGTAAGCATTTTTATTTTATGATTAGAAAGTATAGTTTATTTCATTGTAGTCTTAATAGCAAGCAGCAGTGTTTCCCATGAAAAGGAGAAAAGGTAAAATGTAGTATTAGGCTATATTATTATAGCCTGTGTGACGTTCAGACCATTGAACCCATACAAGTCATCACATTTGGAATATGGTTTTCAGTTTTAGGTGTTTTGTTTTTGTTTTTATTGTAGTGTAATTAGTTTACAACGTTGTGTTAGTTTCCGGTGTACAGGTGTTGTAATATTAAGAAAAGAATCTGCAAATGAATTATGGAGGAGATCTTGGAATTCACATGAGGATGGAGATGGGAATGTTTACCCTGTTAATGGGTTTTAGAAGGGGGGGACAGGAAGAGGAGAAAGGGGAAGTAATAACATAATGGGGCCTTCAAATATTTAAATGTCAGCTGGAAAAGGGAATAGTTGTTTCTTTATAGCTGCAGAGGGCAGGACTAAAATCAGTGGGTGGAAATGACAGCAACAGGCTGTGGAGGTCCAGGGTGGACCAGTAACTAATTCCTGCTCACCACTTGACTACTGCCCCTTTCTTCTTTTCCAGACAGCCTTGCTGTGAGCATGATCTCTAAGGTGGTCTCAGGCCAAGCCCCATCAAGAACCTCAGACTGATTGTGAGGCTTAGCTGTGAGTGTCTGGGTTTGGATAGACCCCATGCACTCTAGTTCAAGGAACCAGGATTTGGACTTCTACTGTAACTTCTTATAGGAATGGTGGTCAATAGTGACCTTACTAGTTTTTGTCCTTGGGGACTAGATCTTCACTTCAGGGCCCTACCTACTGACTAGACCTCTTAGCTGCGGGGCTCCACGTGTGTCTGAGCTTGCTAAACCGTGGCTTGCCCACACCCACCCTCATCTTCCTGTTGACTTTTCTTTGAATTATCGGAACTGTTTTGATTCTCCCCACCAATTTGAGGCTCTGGGCTGATTTCTCTCTTGCTTTTCAACCCTGCCAGGCAAGTTTAGATCTAGATGTTGTTCCCTTCCTGACTGCCGTGTCCGCCCATATTTATCTTTCGTACTTTTTTTTTGTTTGTTGCCCTTTGATAATCAAACCATCAAAATTCAGCCTCCCCTCCCCTGCACCATTTTTTTCCCCCTGCAGTACTCACCTTATTACAGTGTTCTGGAATCAAACACAGCATCTCAAGAGGTTTGCCTATCATTTTTTTTTTGTCATTTATTTATTATTTTTATTAAATTGGACTATAGTTGTTTTACAGTGTTGTGTTAATCTCCGCAGTACAGCAAAGTGGTTCAGTTATACACACACACACATACATGTACACGCATACTTTAAAAATTTTTTTTCCATTATGGTTTATCATAGGATATTGAATATAGCTCTTCGTGCTATACCAGTAGGACCTTGTTGTTTATCCATTCTGTATATAAAAACTTACATCTGCTAACCCAAGGATTCCACTCCATGCCTCCTCCTTGGCCGCCACCAACTTGTTCTCTATGTCTGTGATTCTGTTTCATAGATAAGTTCGTTTATGTCATATTTTGGATTCCACATATAAGTGATATCATATGATGCTTATTTTCCTCTTTCTGACTTACTTCACTTAGTATGGTAATTTCTTGTTATGATAACCTCATGGATAATCATCCATGTTGCTGCAAAGAGCGTTATTTCCTTCTTCTGGACTGAGTAGTATTCTATTGCATATGTGTACCACATCTGTTAATGGACATTTAGGTTGTCTCCATGTCTTGGCTGTTTTGAATAGTGCTGCTGTGAACATAGGGGTGCATGTAACTTTTTGACTTAGAGGTTTGTTTGGATGTATGTCCCAGAGTGGGATTACTGGATCATATGATAATCCTATTTTTAGTTCTCTGAGGAAACTTCATACTGTTTTCCACAGTGACTGCACCAACTTACATTCCCACCAACAGTGTAGGTGGGTTCCCTTTTCTCCACATCCTCTCCAGCATTTATTATTTGTAGACTTTTTAATGATGGTCATTCTAACAGATGTGAGCTGGTACCTCATTGTAATTTTGATATGCTTTTCTCTAATAATTAGTGATGTTGAGCATCTTTTCATGTGTTTACTGGCCATCTGTATTTCTTTGGAGAAATATCTCTTTAGGTCTTCTGCCCAGTTTTTGATTGGGTGGTTTGTTTTTGTTGTTGAGTTTTATGAGCTGTTTTTGTACTTTGGAAATTAGGCCCTTGTTGGTCACATCATTTGCAAATATTTTCTCGCATGGTGCAGGGAATTCCCCTTTCCATTTTTTCCCCCAAATAAATTGATTTTGTAATAGCCTTACTGGAGACAATTATTCTTGAATATCATCAGCTATCTAGTCAGCATTCAAATGTTCAATTTTCTCATAATTTATTTTGAAAATTATTTACAGTTTTTTAAGAGTTCCGGTTTCAAATAATGTTCATACATTGCAGTTAGTTGACATCTCTTACATTTCCTTTAATCTTTTCTTTTTCCCCTTCCATCTCTTTCATTTTTATCTGTTGGAGAAACTGACTTGTTGAAGTGGAAGTTGGAGCTAGTGATGATTCCTTGAGAGATGATGCTTTTCTCTTGGGCTCCCTATTGTTAGGATTCTGAATTTGTCATATATGTGTTCCTTCCTGCTTCTGTAGATCTGTGTGTTTCTACTTCCTGGGCAGAGAATGATGCCTGTGTTGCATGTTACCTTTCCCTTTTCTCTGTCACCTTTATCCCCCTCTTTTCCTTCCCTTCCCATCCTTAGTAAAAGTACAGAGTCATGTGATGTGAACTAACTAGAGTTAAGCAAGATTTTTTTTTAATGCATTAAATTATCAAAACAGAGAGTAAAGTAAAATTACATTCTGAGAGTCTGTTACATAAACCCTTAGGTTCTTCTCTTCACCAGAATAGGAAGGCTAAATTGGGTAGAAGTGTTGACCTAATGAGCATCTGCATACAGTTAAAAAAAATTTTTTTTTTAAGAATTTTACTAAGTTCTTGTCAATGTCGTGTTTTTTTCCCTAGGTCTCATATTTTGGATTCTGACTATGTTATAATGAACAGCACTTTGACATCAGATGTCATTGGTCGGAGGGTTGAAGTCAACGGGGAACATGCAACAGTGCGTTTTTCTGGCATTGTCCCTCCTGTGGCAGGTAATTTATGATTTTGTGTGTGTGTGTTTATTTTGTAGTTGTTTCTGGTAGGTGTCTCAGTAGAGGTCTATAGTGCCAATTTGAGGATGCTAACAACCAAGTTATATATGCTCTGATACAGTTTTACTTCAGGGACAATATCCTGTGGTATCCATGACTTAATTTGATTATACACTTATCTGATTATTTAATGTTACTATTTTATATTAAGTCAGTCTTAAAATATCTTCAGTGTAAACTTTAAACCATAACAAAACTCGAATTCCCATAATCCTAAGCTCAAAAATGAAGTAATATTTTTGAAATTTCTATTATCATTAATCCACATGTATGTGTGATTCAAATTGATCTGAATAGAATTTTGTGTTACCATTTTTCACTTATGATTTGGTATATATCTACCAAATTCTATAGCATTATTTTACTCATATTTCCTTTTTTATTGAGATATAATTAACATATTAGTTTCAGGTATACAGTATAATGATTCAGTATTTGTATATGTTTTCTCTTGGCCACCTATAGGTCCTCTTTGCAAATATTTTCTCCCAGTCTGTGTGTTGACCTTTCATTTTGTTTATTGTTTCCTTTGCTGTACAGAAGCTTTTGCGTTTAAGTAGGTCCCATTTGTTTATTTTTGTTTTTATTCCCATTATTCTGGGAGAAAGATTGAGAAAAGATATTGCTGCAGTTTACGTTGGAGAGTGTTCTGCTTATGTTTTCCTCTAGGAATTCTATAGTACCTGGTCTCACATTTAGATCTTTAATGCATTTTGAGTTTATTTTTGTGTATGATGTTAAAGAATGATCTAATTTCATTTTTTTTTACATATAACTGTCTGTTTTTTCCCAGCACTATTTGTTGAAGAGACTGTTTTCCAACAGTAATAGATTGTAATTGTAATTATAATTGTAATTGTAATAGATTAATTGACCATAGGTCCATGGGTTTATTTCTGGACTGTCAATCCTGTTCCATTGATCTATATTCCTGTTTTTGTGCCAGTACCATACTGTTTTGATGACTGTAGCTTTGTAGTATAGTCTGAAATCAGGGAGCCTGGTTCCTCCAGTTCTGTTTTTCTTTCTTAAGATTGCTTTTGCTGTTTGGGATCTTTTGGGTCTCCATACAAATTTTAAGATTATTTTCTAGTTCTGTGGAAATGGCATTGGTAACTTGGTGGGGATTGCATTGAATCTGCAAACGGGGAACATGCAACAGTGCGTTTTTCTGGCATTGTCCCTCCTGTGGCAGGTAATTTATGATTTTGTGTGTGTGTGTTTATTTTGTAGTTGTTTCTGGTAGGTGTCTCAGTAGAGGTCTATAGTGCCAATTTGAGGATGCTAACAACCAAGTTATATATGCTCTGATACAGTTTTACTTCAGGGACAATATCCTGTGGTATCCATGACTTAATTTGATTATACACTTATCTGATTATTTAATGTTACTATTTTATATTAAGTCAGTCTTAAAATATCTTCAGTGTAAACTTTAAACCATAACAAAACTCGAATTCCCATAATCCTAAGCTCAAAAATGAAGTAATATTTTTTAAATTTCTATTATCATTAATCCACGTGTATGTGTAATTCAAATTGATCTGAATGGAATTTTGTGTTACCATTTTTCACTTATGATTTGGTATATATCTACCAAATTCTATAGCATTATTTTACTCATATTTCCTTTTTTATTGAGATATAATTAACATATTAGTTTCAGGTATACAGTATAATGATTCAGTATTTGTATATGTTTTCTCTTGGCCACCTATAGGTCCTCTTTGCAAATATTTTCTCCCAGTCTGTGTGTTGACCTTTCATTTTGTTTATTGTTTCCTTTGCTGTACAGAAGCTTTTGCGTTTAAGTAGGTCCCATTTGTTTATTTTTGTTTTTATTCCCATTATTCTGGGAGAAAGATTGAGAAAAGATATTGCTGCAGTTTACGTTGGAGAGTGTTCTGCTTATGTTTTCCTCTAGGAATTCTATAGTACCTGGTCTCACATTTAGATCTTTAATGCATTTTGAGTTTATTTTTGTGTATGATGTTAAAGAATGATCTAATTTCATTTTTTTTTACATATAACTGTCTGTTTTTTCCCAGCACTATTTGTTGAAGAGACTGTTTTCCAACAGTAATAGATTGTAATTGTAATTATAATTGTAATTGTAATAGATTAATTGACCATAGGTCCATGGGTTTATTTCTGGACTGTCAATCCTGTTCCATTGATCTATATTCCTGTTTTTGTGCCAGTACCATACTGTTTTGATGACTGTAGCTTTGTAGTATAGTCTGAAATCAGGGAGCCTGGTTCCTCCAGTTCTGTTTTTCTTTCTTAAGATTGCTTTTGCTGTTTGGGATCTTTTGGGTCTCCATACAAATTTTAAGATTATTTTCTAGTTCTGTGGAAATGGCATTGGTAACTTGGTGGGGATTGCATTGAATCTGCAGATTACCTTGGGCAATATGGTCATTTTGACAATATTGAGTCTTCCAGTCCATGAACAGGGTTTCCATTGGTTGTGTCGTCTTCGATTTCTTTCATCAGCATCTTACAGTTTTCAGAGCATAGCTCTTTTGTCTCCTTAGGTTTATTCCTTGGTATTTTATTCTTTGTGATAAGATGGCAAGTGAAATTGTTTCTTGAATTTCTCTTTCTGATCTGGCATTGTTAGTGTATAGAAATGGATTGACTTGTATTTGGCTTGTGAGATCTCAGGTCCCTGACCAGGGACTGAACCCTAGTCATGGCAGTGAAAGCCCAAAGTCCTAACCACAAGGCCCCCAGAGCACTCCTTTATTTATATTTCTTAATAGTTACATTTAGTATAGTACATAGTTTGTTTAATCGTTCCTCCTTTTTAGACATTAATTTCTGTTTGTTTTTTTTTTTACTTTTGTCAGTGGCAGTAGTATAGTAGACTTATTTATATGTCTTAATCAATCAGCAAATATTTAAGTGCCTTCTATATATTAGGAATTGGCTTAAATGTATACAAGGTATTCAGTGGTGAATATACACCAGAGGCTCTCAAAATATGGTCACTAAGGAGTGTCAGCATTACTTGGTTACTCATTAGCGATGTACATTCTGGGCCCCACCCCAGAACTACTGAATCAGAAACTCGGGAGGTGGGACCCAGCCATCTGTGTTAAGAAGCTCTCCAGGGCATTTTACTAGGTTCATTAAGGCTGAGAACCACTGAACTAGATAGACATGGACTCTGCCTTCATGGACCTAAGATTTACCAGAATATTTAGTATGGAGAGGGTTTCTTCTCTTGTTTTACTTGGATTATTGGTAAATTGAAAGAGAAAGTAACATTAATCTTAAAGTCAGCTGATTAGCAACCTTCATGGCTAATTAAGCAGCATTGTGTACCAGTTGCTTTTATATGCTCTCTACTTTGAATGAGAACATTATTACAACTCTAAAATTATAACAGCTCTAGGATATAGATGTTATTTTTACAGATGAGGAGACCAGGACTTAGGTCTCTAAGATTTCCTGTAAAAAGCTGGGATTTGAAACTGTGTTTTAGAGCTCATACCCTTTCTGTTCTATTGCTTCTCAGGACTATGAATAGTTGAAGATTCTTGATATATATTGCCAAGTTGCTGTCTGAAAGTATTGGATCAATGTCCAGTTCTTGGAAATTTTGAATGCCCTAGTTCTCTGGGAAGTAGACGGAGATGGAGATTCACATTTAGGAAGTTCGCGATTCAAAAAGTGTATTAGGGAAAAAAAAAGAGTGTATTAGGTAGTCCTCTTAGAATTGATTAGTAATGCAAGGGAAGGGAAGGGAGCTGGATTGGGCAGAGGGAGAAGTTGGGCCACGATTATTCTAGTCTTTTATTTGTTTTTAATTTTTGTTTGTTTTTGGCCGTGCTGGGTTCTCATTGCTTCATGTGGGCTTTCGCTAGTTGCAGCAAGCATGGGTGATGCCCTTTATTGTGGTGCATGGCTTCTCATTGCGATGGCATCTCTTGTTGCCGGGCAGGGACTCTAGGCGAGCGGGCTTCAGTCACTGTGGCCGTCGGCCCTGGAGCTCAGGCTAGTAGTTGTGGCACGTGGGCTTAGTGATTCCATGGCATGCGGGATCTTCCTGGACCAGGGATCAAACCCGTGTCTCCTGTATTGTCAGACGGACTCTTATCCACTGAGCCAGGAAAGTCCAGGTGCCATGATTATTCCAAATAAAGGATTTATCTGATCTTGTGGGGGAACTCTGAAGATAGGATGGCCCTGCAGAGTCTTTCATAGTTGAGATGTGATGATCTATCATTGGATTGTGGCTGCCTTAGGAAGGAGTGTGCTCTGGGACAAGGTTTTTTTTCAGAGGAGACAGTTCTAAAAGAGCGCCTGTGGCTGAGTGCCAACTGCCAAAAGCCAGTACTGCCAGCACCCGGGGGGAGTTCATTTCAGTTCCTAAAGTGAGTGGCACCTCACAAATAGAGTAAGTTAGGTGGAAGCTATTTAATGGTAGTTTAACAGTATGAAGGGATGTACATTATTTTGACTTATTAAGTTGCCTGTGACTTTGACACTTTTTTCATGTGTGTATTATCGGGCATTTTTCCCCCAGAAAATTATAATTCTGCCAAGAGGGAGCTTCTGTGTGTTTACTTTTTATTAATTATGTCATTGCATGCAGCATTCTTTCCATTACTTCAACTGGTGCTACTTTTGGATTTCTTGTAGAACTCATCTCTGGGATAGGTACAAAGATGCAGAGAAATGGAACACAGATTTAGTACTTACTCCTGGGTTATTTCACTGGATGTGGCTGTGGGGCTGTTGTGACAACTCAATGAGTTAAAAGCTGAGAAGCACTTAGACCAGTCACTGGTGTTTGCTGAGCACCCGGAGTAGCCACACTAGCCCTCTGAGTGCTTGTTAGGTGCTCAGTTCGTTTGTTGAATGACGGGATGATCTCATCCAGTGGTGGCGACAGCATCATCCCTGTTTCCTGGACAAGGACATTGAGGCAC